TTTGGAGGAGCTCCTGTCTCTTTTCTTTTACCAGTTCCATTTATGTGACAATAGGTCAAAGGTCCTCCTCAACTATGTCTGGCTTCACTTGGAAGCATGAATGAGACATTTCCTCTGAGTTGACCCTCCTCTTTGTAGACTGGACACTGGTTCAAGCCTATCTCATGGGGTCCCCATTGCCTCCCTGAACAAAGGACAGGTGACTCACCAGAGTTACAGGACGTTTTGAGAGATGTTCCATAGTCCCCTGGAACTTAGTCGACCTAAGAGGGCAAGGGGTAAAACCTGTCCTTTAAGTCCCTCTGACCACATTAGTATAGGCTTCAAACGATGGTTGTTAAATGTCCTATAAGGTTAGTTCCACCAGTCTGGTACTGTTAATTATCATGTGCTATGTAGATAAGGCTTGAGTAAAAAACAAACTATTCTCAGAGAACATTTGACTAGATGCATATTTTGTTCCTTAAACAAGTTGACTAAACTATGACCACAGACATTTTAAGATTATGTGTATATCATTTTTGTCTCCTCCTTTATGTGTTATAACAAACCTAAACACACCTTCATCACTGGCTTAGGTTTTCTCATTTTTTTACTATTTTGGAAATATCTCCATTCCTACATCCTTTTAACATCTTTTACATTCTCATTTTCTTTTTTTAATAATTATGAGAAATAATAGCATTAACAGATGAATTTTCCAGTTGTTGTGAGACTTCTTATCATGGGGATGCTATGCAATGCTTAGTCCCTTTCAAGGTTCTAGTATCGAGCCAATGTTTGATTAAAGTTTCCCTGGGAAAACCAAATTTATGGTTTATTGAGTTTTCAGTTCTGTGTTCATTTCTGTTTGGGTTTTCTTCATGATTTCTACCTCTTTAGGGAATTTGCTTTTCATGTTATTGTTTTGGTATTTAATTAAGCCTCAACATTGTATATTCTTGGTCTTCCATCATAAGTTAATGCCTTTCTTCTTTGAGTTCTTTGAGTTGTTTGTGTTTTCTTGAAGTTCTTTGATCATGTTTATGATTCTTCTTTTAAATTCTCTGTTGTGGGGTTCTTCTGGATCATTCTCAATGCTGTGCTCTTCTGTAGGAATATTGGATATTGTTGTGGACATATTTTCTTGTTTTTATATTGTTTTGTGTTTTTGCATTGCCCTCTAAGGACAGGGTCTCCCATAGTACGGACTGCCTAGAACTTTCTATGTAGACTATGCAGGCCTTAATTTCACAGAGATTCCCCTGACTGATTCCAGAGCACTGGAATTAAAGTTTTGCCATCAAGAAGGCTGGTTTGCCTCTTTATTTTGAAGAGGTTCATTTGATTATTTGGAAGTATATTCCATGGATTAGCAGGCAGATACTACGGAAAAAGATATGCTAAAATGAAGCACATTAGTAAACCTCAGAGTCATGAAATTTTGAACTAGAAATAGGGTAGGAAAATTAAATATTCAAAGAGATTTTTTTTAATGAGATTCACCTGGTGAATTCCTTTCACAGTGCACAGACCCACAGAAAACTTCTTCACACACAGTCAAGGCACCTGCTTTCAACTTTTTGCTATTCTGCACAGTGCAGCAGCAGTCACACACACACACACACACACACCAGCCAGAAAATAAAAATAAGTATATATAAATAAAGATGTAGAAAATGTTGGGTCTTCTTAACAGAACTATGGTAATATTAGGAATGGCAACTGAAATTACTAATGGAGCAAACACTCTGAACACAGCAGATGCTGTTCTTTGACAATTTATGTAAACAGATCAATGAACAATGGCTGGGATTTCAGTTTTTCACACCTAGAACTTGATATCCAAAGAGGTAACAAAGAGAT